GGATGTCGCTCAGCCGCATCCTGCCAGCGGGTAAAAACGCTCGATTCGTTATCATACCGCTGCGCAGTGCACATCAGGTTGCTGGTAAGTTATTCATCCAAAGCTCATAAAATGTTCGTTCTCCTCTTTTTTAGAAGCAGGAGCGGCATCGCAAGTTGATCTGAGGCCAGAAGAGCTCGATAACCCTTCATTCTTTCAAAAAATATCGCTCCGATTCCAAGGTGAAATGATCAGCACTTCAGATTTTTATGCAGTGATTTAGTCGTTTTTGATCGCTTACTATAGTTGCTCGCAAAGTTAATGTCAAAACATTCTAGGTATTCCACTGAAAGGAGAGCTTCATGCTCCGAAATCCATTTTTTCTGATTGCGGAAAAGAATGGTTTGCCCCCAAGCCGCTACCTGAGATGCCTAAAGACTACAAAGAACATCCAGATAGAGATTTGGTCAGTTTTGTTTAGGTTTTGTCGAAGTTCTAAAACCTTTTGTATAGGTAAACTATCCCTATCCCGCTCGGCCAATGTATCCGCCGAAAACTCGTCTTCTGATGATGCCTGACTCCTGGTTTCAACCATTTATGAAAGTGACTGGAGTATCAGGTAACGGCTTCGCTAATTACTGTTAACGCTACGTTTTTGAACTAAGCGAATCATTATTTTAGGTCCATATTTGTTCTTCGGAGGGCTGTTTGCTTTCCTGGTGAACAAGGAACTGTGGGTGTACGAGGAGCAGGGACATATGACTGTAGGATGGATCTTATTCTATCTGCTCATATCAAGGACTGTTGGATGTGAGTTCCTGCGCTCCTGAATATAATGCTATTCTGCATAATATTTGTGTATACTTCTTTCTTTCAATGAAGCTTTGAAGTTGTAAAATTTTGGCTACTAATTACCTTGCCAATATTTTCGTTATAAATTGTGTGACTGAATTGTAGTCCGAATTGACAATTGGTTGTATGGAGAGTATCAGAAGCGTATGGAGTACTTCAAAGGATTGATTGCCGAAGATCTCAAGGACGCTGTCGAGTTCAGAAAGGTGAGTAGCCCCTCTTTCCAGCTTGTGAAGAGTATCTGTTGTTTAGACGTCTGCTGCTGAAACTGAATCTCTGAAGTTAGTTAAAGAGAACTTCCCCGTCATAATGAAGGAAAATATGCAGCTACAGCTCGAAGCACAGTACAGGTGATTATTTAGCCGTCAGTTCAGCTTTTT